TGTGACAAGCAAAAGAACTCTATCCAATAAAGAACTCCTTTAAACAAAGAGCTCTTATAAATCGATATTGTTACTAGATGAACTATCCCAGCTCCTGGCTAAAGCCAGGCCCCCACCTGCTTATGGAGCCTCTTCTCTCTCAACCCCACAAGGACATTGTTCTAGCAACTCTACTCCTTCCCATGATCAATTTTTTTCTCTTCTTGATCATTCCCATCAGCAAACATGCAAATACTTCTATCTAAATACAAATAAATAAAAGCAAAACAATTTACAAACAAAACAAAAAATCCCCCACCCTCTCCTGATCTTCCTTCCCCAGCCAGCTAGACCCCCATTTCTTTGTTCTCTTTTGCAGCAGAACTCCCTGAAAGAGTTGTCTCTATACAATGTCTTTAGTCAACCTCCTCCCATTATCTCTTCAACCCATCTCTATTGGGCTTTGGTCCCTTCCCTCTACTCTATGCAGAGGGAACTGCAATTAATTGTTAGATAAATGTTTCCAGAATTTTTTCTATGCAGATATAAATACATCCCAAAATATTTTTTTAAAAAGTTATCTCTGGGTGGTGAGATGACAGATGACTTTTCTTCTTTATAATGTTTTGGTACTGTCTGAATTTTTTTAAAATGATACAGCCTCTGTTACTTCTATAATCAAGGGAGGAAAAAAGTTGTTTTCATTTTAGATAAAGGTACCATCTTACTCTTACAGAAAACTACATCTGTGGCTTTGTTTTAAAAAGGCAGAGTTAGAAATAAAGCTAGAATAAATGAACGTGTTCACTTTTAACAGAAAAACACCTACTAAAATATGCAGTAGCTCCTGGTTTCAGAAAAACATTTATCTGGATGACTTCTTATTAGTGTAGCTTCTAGATCAATGTTTTTCTACCCAGAGGTTGTGATCTTGTCTTGGGCCGATGACAGAGAGAAGGCTAAATGGTGAGAAGAGGGCCTCAGAAGAGACTAGGATGGGACTGCAGACGGGAGAGGTCCACAGTACTCCTGGGCATGAAGATATCCCCCACTCATCTCACATGCCCTCTCCCCCTCCGACATACACACACGCACCCCTTTATCAGCCCTCATTAACCTCCCTTCATCGCCCTGTGCTCAGACCACCATGTCCCTCGTTTCCAACTTGGCTCCTTCACCACGACCTTCGCTTCCTTTCTTCTCCTGATCTGAACAAACCTGGCACTTTTCCTCACCTTTATGAGATGAAAATAGTTCCTTACTTTAAAATAAAATAGTTAGAAACATATATGGAGATCAGCGTTCTCAAGAG